ACTCCGCCATCCAAGAATTGGTTCAGATGTCATGATTCGTGATGCCCCACATGGGGACTTCCCTGGCGGTCCAGTGGTTGGGACTCCATGCTTTCACTGCAGCGGGGTGCAGGTTTTATCCCTGATCAGGGAATCAAGATCTCACATGCTGCACAGTGTGCGCCCCCTGGCCCCCCACCCAAAAGAAACAAACAATCAAACAAACAAAATAATGCCACAGCTGCAGCAAAGGATCCTTTCTGCCCCTGTGGGGTGACCACAGTTGGCACTGTGAGTGGGGGTCTAGATGGGACCACCACCTTGTCCACTGAAAAAAAACGCACAACCTAAAAGGTGGGAATTATGTTTTATTCAGCAGACATGCTGAGGACTTAAGCCCGGGAGACGGCCTCTCAGAGAGCTCTGAGGGACAGCTTCAAAGATAAGGGAGGAACCAGGATATATACTGGAGCTTTAGCAACAAAAGCCAGATAGTCGGGAACATCAAGAGATTAACGTTCATTAAAGAAAGTCAACAAACAAGCATCTCCAGTGAATGAATTTCATGCTTTTCTAGGTATGGGAAGATGCCAGAGTCTGGGCTCATTGAAATCATTCCTTTGATGTGCACCTCAGCTATGCAGGGCCACTATCCTGTTTTTCTCCATCCTGAATCCCGGCAGGGCGCACAGTCCTCGGTGGCTGAAGTGGCTGTCGATGGCTCGATGGCTGCAACGTCCTTTGTTTACTGGTATGGCAGGTGACACTTTTTGCCCACGACCTCCGAGGTCTTTCTCATCTTGCTGTCCAGATCACTGGCCCCGCGGCCATGCATTTTGAGCTGTGCTGCCTGCTGCTATATTTGCTGAGATCTAAGGAGACTCTGTTGTAAATTTAACAGACCTAAGTCAGAAGTTTCCATAGTTGGTGTTCAGGAACGGGGTATGGGGCCCTCCTTCAAGTGGCCCAGGGTTGTGCATCTCCAGCCGGGACCTTTGTGCCTCTCTCCTGCCCTGAGGTCGGAAGGTGGGACTCTGAGTTCCAACCCCTCCAATCAATTGGTTGGCTCCCCTAGCAGCCAGCCCCCATTTCCTCCCCCATCCTGTCACCTCATTAACATAAACTCAAATAGGGTTACTGGGATTTATTATGAAAAGCAAAAGAGGCTCATCTTTCCCCTACCACTTGGGAAATTCCAAGAGTTGGGTTTTTTTAAATAAATTAATTTATTTTATTTTTGGCTGTGTTGGGTCTTCGTTGCTACGCGCGGGCTTTCTCTAGTTGCGGTGAGCGGGGGTGGGCTTCTCACTGCGTTGGCTTCTCTTGTTGTGGAGCACGGGCTCTAGGCACGCAGGCTTCAGCAGTTGTGGCACGTGGGCTCAGTAGTTGTGGCGCACGGGCTTAGTTTCTCCGCGGCATGTGAGATCTTCCCAGATCAGGGATCGAACCCGTGTCCCCTGCATTGGCAGGCAGATTCTTAACCACTGCACCGCCAGGGAAGCCCCCAAGAGTTTTTTTTGGTTTTTTTTTTTGCGGTACGCGGGCCTCTCACTGCTGTGGCCTCTCCCGTTGCGGAGCACAGCCTCCGGAGGCACAGGCTCAGTGCCCATGGCTCACTGGCCCAGCCGCTCTGTGGCATGTGGGATCCTCCCGGACCAGGGCACGAACCCGCGTCCCCTGCATCGGCAGGCAGACTCTAAACCACTGCGCCACCAGGGAAGCCCCCCCAAGAGTTTTTAAAAGCTCTGTGACCAGGACAGGTTGGTGGGGACAGATGGTGAGGTAGGTTTATATTGTCCAGGAGGCTGTTGGATGCACAGGAATGAAGCTGGGGAGAGACCTGAGAACCAACCTGCCCCAGATGACAGGTGAAACTGTCAGGTGTATACAATCAGTGCAGAGGACAAGGCTTAGGACAGAGCCCTGGGAACACCCTTGTTTGTACAGACACCAATGGAGGGAAAAAAAAAAAAAGGCCTATTAATGAAGGAGGCTGGGAAGGAGAGTCAGGAGAAGGAGGAAAACCAGAAATGCATGGTGTCCCAGAAGGAAACCCAGAGAAGGGGGGCCAGCCATGTTGAGTGCTGCCCAAAGGTTGAGTAAGACGGGGACAGGCAGGTGACTGTTGGATTGTTCAACATGGAAGTCTCTGGAGAACCAAAAAGACTGTGGCGTGGGTATGGGGTGCAAGCAGTGAGTAGATCTCCAGGGAGAAGTGTTGCTGGGAAGGATGGTAGGAAAACAAGGCAGTAACTGAGAGGGGGTGTGGACTGTGGGCTGTGATTCAACTCTGTGGCCCCAGCATCTCCCAGCAGATTATCAGGCCCACACAGCAAAATGTTTGCAGAGTGAATGAATGAATGAATGAATGAGACAGAAATAGAGTGAGAGAGAGGTGTAAAGGTAAACTGAAGACTACAGAAAAAAAGATTCTGTCATCCAAGTCAGCTTTGAGAATTCCTTCTTTTTTTTTTCTGCGGTACGCGGGTCTCTCACTGTTGTGGCCTCTCCTATTGCGGAGCACAGGCTCCGGACATGCAGGCTCAGCGGCCATGGCTCACGGGCCTAGCCGCTCTGCGGCATGTGGGATCTTCCCAGACCGGGGCAAGAACCTGCGTCCCCTGCATTGGCAGGAGGACTCTCAACCACTGCGCCACCAGGGAAGCCCCCCATCCATCTTTTATTGCCTTGTTTGAGGACCCCAAGAGGAAGTGGCAGGTAGACATTTAGCTTCCTCCCAGCCCCATTTTTTAAAAAATTTATTTTATTTATTTATTTTTGTCTGCGTTGGGTCTTCTTCGCTGAGCACGGGCTTTCTCTAGTTGCGGTGAGCGGGGGCTACTCTTGGTTACGGTGCACAGCTTCTCATTGCGGTGGCTTCTCTTGTTGTGGAGCACGGGCTCTAGGCGTGTGGGCTTCAGTAGTTGTGGCACGTGGGCTCAGTAGTTGTGGCACACGGGCTTAGTTGCTCCGCGGCATGTGGGATCTTCCCAGACCAGGGCTCGAACCCGTGTCCCCTGCACTGGCAGGCGGATTCTTAACCACTGCGCCACCAGGGAAGCCCTCAGTTAGTCATTCTTTTGCTCATTCACATATTTGGATAATGATTAACAATACAAGTTCTGGAGCCAGTCTGCCTCAGTTCAAACTCCAGTTCTGCCTCTTACCAGCTGTGTGACTTTGGGCAAGTGGCTCCATCTAGCTGTGTCTCAGCTTCCACACCTATGATGGTATCCATGCCCTGAGACATCACCCCATGTGTTGGGATGCCTGAGTTGTCTTTAGGGAATGGGCTTCATGGTGAGCTTATGATGGCGCCCAAGAGGAAAGCATGAGATACAGGGACCTGAGCGCTCCAGGGGCTCCCTGGATGAGGTGGCAAAGGTGCTCAGAGCTTTTTCTGAAAGCAGGAGGTCTGTCCTCTTTGAGTCTGCAGCTACAAAAAGGGATTGATTGACTTTATCCAGAAGCCACAAGCCGCAAGTCTGTGTGTCAAAAGAGAACCGCTAAGCAGTCATTCCCCACCCCCACTCCCTGCCGCCCCGGGCAACCACTAACCTGCTTTCTGTCTCCACCAATTGGCCTTTTCCGGATATTTCATATAAATGGGATCATACGGTTTGTGGGCCTTTATGACGGGCTTCTTTCACTCCACATAGTGTTCTCAAGGTTCGTCCACGTGTAGCACACATCAGTACTTTGTTCCTTTTGTAGCTGAATAATACTCCATAGCACGGACAGACCACCTTTTATTTGTCCATCCATCATTTGATACACATCAGTTTAAAGGCTATGGGGTCTCCTTTGGGGGTGACGAACATGGTCTGGAATTAGTCGGTGGTGATGGTAGCATAACACTGTAAGTGCAGTGGAATTCACGGCGTTGTAGACTTTAAAATGGTTCGAAGGCTGGATTTTATGTTATATAAATTTTACTTCCAAAAAAAAAATAAAAAGATAAGAGGAGAAAGAGAGGGATTCTGTCCTGAGTCTCTTTCACTCTCCCTCTCTCTGTTTCCTGTCCCCTGTCTCTCTTTCTCAGTGGATGTCCCTATGCAAAAAACTTTCATGCAGTTAGATAAATCGACCTCCTAAGACCTGTGCTCTGAATTTCAAAACTTCAATTAGAACCAAGCTTCCTTGGATCTCAGTTTGGAAACTCCTCTGTCTCCCCTATTTTGTTTTTGGTTTTTTATTTTGTGGTACACAGGCCGCTCACTGTTGTGGCCTCTCCTGTTGCGGAGCACAGGCTCCGGACGCGCAGGCTCAGCGGCCATGGCTCACGGGCCCTGCCGCTCCGCGGCATGTGGGATCCTCCCGGACCGGGGCATGAACCCACGGCCCCTGCATCGGCAGGCGGACTCTCAACCACTGCGCCACCAGGGAAGCCCTGTCTCCCTTATTTTGAAACCTCTTCCCTTTCCTCCTCTTCTGTCTCAGGCTCTCTCTGCCCTTGGTTTCCTTGACTCTCACTTCCACCCTGTTGCCTCTTCCATGAAACACTCAGGGAGGAGTCCAGGTATCTACCTGCCCCACTCTCCCTGAGGCTTCATTACAGGAGTTGGGGAAGGTCCCAGATCACCTTGCGTCATTGGCCTCAGGGCTGCTGGCTAGTTTGCAGAGGAGGGGAGAAGGAGAGGGCCTGGGTCTTCCCTCCAGAGCCATACTGGGGCCCCCGCCCCCCTCCATTTAACTGTAAATCTCACTAATTGTCATTAGCCAAGAAGAGTTTCTACCTGATTAGAGGGTGTCCCGCCCCATGTCTACCTTGTCTCCTTCCCTCAACCCATAAATCGCATGAGCTGGGACAAAGAGTTAAAAGCTGTATCAGCTGCTGGTCTGGGACAGACAGACGGAAGGAAGAAGACAGGTGGTGCAGCGTGACAGGTGGCTGAGAGGCCAGGTGAACAGTAGGAGAGTTGCCTGACAGGGTGGCTGGCAGATGAAAAGACAAGCAGGCAGGTGGCCAGACAGATAGCAGAGAGACCGACAGGCTGAGATTGCAACAGTCACATGGAGGAACCGGCAGGCGGAGAAGCAAGGTGAGCAGGGGGCAGTCCAACACCAGTGAAGGGGTAACGCTCGGGGATTGGGTACAGAGAGGAATGAGCCTGTGGACCATCCCCTTCTCGTGGAGTTGCTGGTGGAAGGGGAGGAGAAAGGGAGGGTCCACTTGACAGGGAAAAGGAGGGTCCAGTTGCCATCTCTGAGATGCCTCACCTTTTCCCCAGAACCTGGAAGTGGACCACCATGGTGTCCAGCACCTTTTTTCTCCTGTGCTTGATTGGTGAGTTCCCCAGAAGGCAAGGAACCCTCATGAGGATGCCTGGCACTAAGGAGGGGAGGGAGGCTGGCTGACTCTATGCCTCCATTCACCTCCATCTCCAGGGGTCCTATGCACCTCGCTCTCCCTGTATCTTCCGATCCATCTCCCCTCTGTCTCTCCCTGTCACTATGTCTCTGTCCTTTCTCTCTGAATCTCTGTTTCGCTTATCTTTAAGCATCTCTCTCTCTTCCTCTTTGTGTCCTTTGGGTGTTTCACTGTGTCTTTATATATCACTGGGTCTGTGTCTCCCTGCCTGTGACTCTCTCTCTCTCTCTCTCTCTCTCTCTCTCCCTCTCTTGGTTTCTTTCTCTTGCCTCTTTTTTGTTCTTTCTGTATCTCTCTTTCTATCTGATCCACAGTCTCTAGGTTCCTGACTCTGTCTCTCTGGCCCATGCCATTGTCCTCAGGGCTCAGCCACGAGGGCACACAGAAGGTTTTTAAAGGCACGGAGTGTATCCCTCGCTCACAGCCTTGGCAGGTGGGGCTGTTTGAAGGTACACAGCTGCGCTGTGGGGGAGTCCTCATCGACCGCCGGTGGGTTCTCACAGCTGCTCACTGCAGCAACAGGTAAGCCCCCCACTTGGGTCCCTGCTTGGGTGATGGGGAGGGTAGCGCTGGGGGGAGGGGGCTCACAGGAGTAAGGAGATGGTCCTGCAACAAGAGGGTCTGAGGTTAGACAAGAAGTAGGACTTCTTCACAATGGGCCTGGGGTGGACCTGGGTGGGGATCGGTGGGGTGGAGGTCAGGGGAGGGTCCTGGAATCTGCCCACCCACCCCCAATGTTCCCTCATGTCCCCCTTCCTTCCCATACGGTGTCCCCAGTTCAGCATCTCCTGACCCAGTCTGAGCTGGGGACCCATGTCTGACCCAAACGCTTTGTGCAGCTTCAGAGGTCACATCTGGCGCCTCTCTGGGCCTCAGTGGTCCCATCTGTAAAATGAGGTCAGAGGTTACATCTGGCGCCTCTCTGGGCCTCAGTGGTCCCATCTGTAAAATGAGGTCAGAGGTTACATCTGGCGCCTCTCTGGGCCTCAGTGGTCCCATCTGTAAAATGAGGTCAGAGGTCACATCTGGCGCCTCTCTGGGCCTCAGTGGTCCCATCTGTAAAATGAGGGGATTGGGATTTGTAGGTCTGATGCTCTGGATTCATTTTCTTTTTCCAAAAGGGAAGTTTCAGACACGGAGAGACAGAGATATTTGGGGACAGGGAGGGACACCAGCAGGACAGAGTCCACTCATTATTCCCCCATTCATTTAGTTGACAGTGTTGATGGCCCAGGCCACCTGCTGGGTGGTGGGAACAGGGCAGTGAATAGGACTAATGGATGTCCCTGCCCCCATGGCCATCACCAGCTAAGAGAATCAGAAAGTGACACAGATGCGGTAGCATGGAGAGGAGAAATAGGACCAACACTAGAAATGGAAAGATGGCAATGGAAATAGAGGCCAAGAGGTGGGAAGAGACAAAGAGAATGAGAGCAAGGGAATCAACAACCATCAAGGTGCAGAGCAGCAGAGAGAGGCAGGCGGGTCTGGGAGCCCCAGGCCAGCCCACCCTGCCCCTGCTGAGCCTCTGTGACCCCCAGCAGGCACTGGCTGAGCCTGGGGGAACACAGCCTCAGCCAGATGGACTGGACCAAACAGATCCGGCACAGTGGCCTCTCCGTGACCCACCCTGGCTACCAGGCAGCCCTGCAGAACCAAGACAATGACCTCCGGCTTCTGCAACTGGGCATCCCTGTTCTCTTGACCCGCAGCATCCAGCCCCTGCCCCTGCCCACGACCTGTGCAGTGGCTGGCACCAAGTGCCACATCTCGGGCTGGGGCACCACCAACCACACAAGGAATAAGGGGGTCCTGGGGTCAGGGGTCACGATTGGCAAAAGTTTGCGGCATAGGGAGTCACGCCATCTCAGAGGAAGGATGGGTAAAGTGTCACACATCAGGATTCATGCTTTAGGGTCTGAGATCATGGTGCGTAGGGGTCTTGGGAGTTAAAGAGGTTAAGTGGTTGTGTATGGAGTTAGGAGTCATGGGTCAGAGATGTGGTTAGAGGTCAGAGTGATGTTATCAGACTGGATGGAGCAAAAGACATATGTAAATAGGATCTTGGGGTCATGGGTCAGGTACTCTGATGTTAGTCATTGTAGAGTTGAGGTCATGGGATCCAGATGTTGGCCACAATCCGAGGATGGAAATTGGGATTCGATCAAGGATCACTGGTCTGGGACTGGAAGCCACAGGGCTTGGTGTGTGGAGGTAGAGGTTAGGGGTCATGGAGTCTGGAGTCAAATAAACTAGGATCAGAGGTCACTTTGGAGGATTCAGAGCTGAGGTTGGAGGTTAAGGTGAAAACAAGGAACATGGGGCCAAGAGACAGAGAGAAGACATGAGGACAAGTTGGGATCAAAGGGCAATAAGATTGAAGGTCAAAGGTCACAGTAGCTGGGATTGAAGGAGGAAGCCAGGTCTGGATTCACTGTATCTGAGTCGTAGGCTAAAGGTCAGGGAGACGGGGCCAATGAATTGAAATCAAGAGCTACTGTGTAATCAAGTCATAATCTGAAATTTAGAGCTTGGAGGATTGTAGTGGAGGTCATAGGGAGGGGGTGGGGTATAGACTTGTATTGGGTTTCCTTGAGAAGAGGGATGTGCCCTTTTTGGGGAGATGAGGGAAGCTTTGGGGGATCCTGCAGCATCCATCTTCCATCCCCAGACCAGTTGTCAGACCGACTCCAATGCCTTAACCTCTCTATCGTCTCTAACGCCACCTGCCGGGCAGCGTTCCCCGGGAGAATCACGGACAACATGGTGTGTGCAGGCGGCATCGCTGGGGAGGATGCCTGCCAGGTGAGCGACTGCAGGCAACATTCGGGACAGAAAGTAGGGGAGGGAGAATTGGAGAGGTGGGGAAGGGGGAGAAGGTAAGTCAGGGAAAGGAGATGGGGAGAGAGATAAGGTCAGAAAGAAGAGGAGGTACAGGATGCGGGAGGGAGAGCCAGGGAGTGGAGGACAGAGAGAGGGAGGGCAGAAACAGAGAAGGAAAGATGGGTGGGGCACAAAGGGAGGGAGAGGAAGAGACAAAGACGATGGGGGAGGGAAAGAGGCAGCCGGCATTTGGAGCTCAGGCAGGTAGCCGGCTGTCTCTCCAGTTCTGAGTCTTCCCCATACCATCCAGTTGGTGCTGGCCCAAGTAAGACTGAGAGATTCCAGGATGGAGGAGGAAAGGGGGCTGGAGGACTCTCTCCCCCTGTAATTCTGCTACCTTATCCTCTCGGTCCTTCACAGAGGAGGCTGCCCCTCCCTACTGGCCAGGGCCCCAGCCACAGTCTTGGAAAGAACTCTTAAGGAGTCCCGCCCTCCTTCTCTAGAATTGGTCACTGGTACCGGTGCTCTCCTCCCTCATTGGTCAGGGTCCCAGCCATTTTCCTTGACACGGAGTCCCGTCCTCCTTCGCTGGGATTGGTCACTGGTGCCTGTGCTCTCTTCCCCCATTGGTCAGGGCCCACCCATTGTCCTTGAGGGAACCCTCTACCCAGCATAGAGCCCGCCCTCCTTCCCTGGCGTTGGCCCCTAGGGACAGTGTGTTCTTCTCTATTAGTTAGTCATTGCTGTTGTCCTCTGGGAACTTGTGTGTTCTTTTTTCTCTGCTGACGAGGCTTGGAGCCACGGTCCTCAAGGCCCAGGAATGGGTGAGGGGGCAGGAGGCTGTGGAGAGGAAAACTGGAAAAGGATTTCTCCCATATTCAGACCATGCTCCTTCTCCTCTGCCTTCCAGAGTGACTCTGGGGGTCCCCTAGTATGCGGAGGAGTCCTTCAGGGTCTGGTGTCCTGGGGATCCGTGGAGCCTTGTGGGCAAGAAGGAATCCCAGGGGTCTACACCAATATTTGCAAATACGTGGACTGGATCCGGATGGTCATGAGGAACAACTGACCTGCTCCCTCCACCTTCATGCCTCAGCTTGGGGGCCACTCTGACCCTCAGAGCGCCAATACCGCCTCCATCATCACCCCCAGCTCCCACTCTTCTTGGACTGGGGATCTTCTTCCTGGAACTCCAACTCCAGCCAGCCCTTCTAAGGCCCATGGTTGGGGGAGGAGGGAGTATACAACTATCTGGAATAAATATAACTGGAGGAGGGGCAGTGTCTGTCTGTTTGATCCCCCTGCTGGTTGAGATTGGAGGGAGAGTTACCCATCAGTTACCCTACCCACAGGTGTAGAAATAGAGATCAGAGAGGGTGAGGGTTTTCCCTCAGGGGCCACACAGGAATGGACTAGAGAAAGTTACTTATAACAGTAAAAAATTAAGGCCATTTTTCTCCATCTGCCGCAACAGGAACACTGCCTAGAGCTTATAAGCTGAAATGCGGGAGGGGTGTGTGTGGACAGGATTGTTGGCTGCAAAATACCAAATGAAAACTGCAAAATCAAAATCCACTACCATTTAATTGTGTCTATAAAACGTAACATTCTTCCAACTAGCCAACTGCAACTTGGCTCAGCTGGAGTTGAGCACGTATTATACTTAATGTGGGGTGCGGGTTTGCTTTAATACATCTGCAATGATGGAGGGTGGGGTGCAGCCTTGGAAAGCAAGAGGACCCAGCCTAGGTCTAAAAATAGTTCTGCCCACCTCTCAGCTTCTGTCTTCACAGCCTCTCCAGGAGTTGGAAAGAGAATTTCTTCTCCGCAATGAATGGAAGGGAAATTTGAGGTGGGAGAGGGTGAGGGGTGACTGTGGCAGCTGTGGGAGCATTTGCTGACTGCCTATTGTACTTGGCTCTCCTGGAGTCATCATCCCAACCCCCTGAGGCAGGGCTGTCACCCCCATCTCACAGATGAAGAAACTGAGCCTCGCCGGGGTGGAGTCTCTCGTCCCACATCACTGTGGTAGGAAGAGGCAGTGCCGGGGTCTGGGGCCAGGGCTGGCTGCTGTGAGAACCCAGGCCTACCCCGTAGTCTTTTTTTTTTTTTTAATGTGGTATGTGGGCCTCTCACTGTTGTGGCCTCTCCCGTTGTGGAGCACAGGCTCCGGACGCTCAGGCTCAGCGGCCATGGCTCACAGGCCCAGCCGCTCCGCGGCACGTGGGATCTTCCCGGACCGGGGCACGAACCCGTGTCCCCTGCATTGGCAGGCGGACTCTCAACCACTGCGCCACCAGGGAGGTCCCTACCCCGTAGTCTTGCTTCACATCTCGTTAGGGGAGAGAGGAGGGTAAGACAGAGGGAGAACTAACTGATAACAAACAAGCTGGGAGAAGTAGGGATCGTCACTTGAGTTCTGCAGACGAGGAAATTGAGTTGGCTCAGATTTGGGAAGTCATCGGACCTACGTCACACAGCAAGTAAGTGCCACAGTGGGATTCTGAGGACCCTGGGGTCCTGGCAGCCTAAGAGGCTGGCAGAAGGCAGTGGAGGGAAGGGTCGCCAGAGAAGTAAAGCCCCAGAGGAGCTCTGGGGGTTGTGGTACCTGCCCAGGGCTGACTTCCCTTTCCTGGGCCTTGAATCCCACAGGCCCCAACCTGCCTTCCCCACCCTCCTGCCTGCCCCTTCGGCTGGCAGCAGCCCCACCTGTGTGACGTCCCAGTCCCCCCACCCCGCTCCTTGGAGTGATGAAGGGAGGGGCCAGAAGGGGCCAGGGTCCCACCTGGGCTCGGGCTGTGGGGAGGGAGGGGCTGGGAGATGAGGATGGAGAGGGATTTAGACACAGAAGTGAAGGGAGGGAGAGAAAGAGACGGGGATGGAGGCAGGCAGAGACAGAGACACAAAGAAAGATATAAAGCATTAGAGGAGATGTGCAGAGAGACACTGGGAGAGAAGAACAGAGTTAGACAAAGAGAAAAAGGCCCAGATATACATAGGAACAGAAAGAAAAATGACACACACACACATACACACAAAGAATTATAGAAATGTGGGAGAGGTAAAGAGAGACAGGGAAGGATGCAGACAGACGGACGGACACAGAGGTGTGGGGAAACAGAGAAGCAGAGAGAAGAGGGGTTTGGGGAGGTGACAGTGACAGGTGGGCAGCACCTCCAAGGCCCAGGGCTGGCCTGGGGAGGGCTCCCACACACCCGGCCCCCAGGGCAGTAAGGCAGGGTTGGGAAGCCCAGTCATCCTGGGCCTGTGGGGGAGGGGGTGTGTGGTGAGGGGGCACCCCTGCCTGCTCGCTTTCCTGGTGCCTCCCGCTCCGAGACCCAGCCTGCCGCGTCTGCCACCACTGCCAGGGCCCCAGAGCTCCAGCCCCAGAGCCCGTGAGTCCAGAAGGGAAGGGAGGGCTCCCCTCCAGGGGCCGAGTGTGCCAGGCCTCAGCCCCAGCATCATTTCTCCTTCTGCTCTGTACTTCTCGGGGTGGGGGATTGTGTCTCTCTGCCTTGATCTGCATCTCCAGCAGCAGCCTCCCAACCTCAGTGTCCTGCAGCCCCACCTTCCGTCACTGCGTCCAACCCTCCAGCCCCACTCCCGCTGGCCAGGGCAGCTAAGGGCACTGGCCCTTCCAGTGATCAGCCCTTCTCTGCCTCACTGTTCTTCAAAGGGGCAGGGGTTCAGCAGGGCGGGGGCCAGAATGATGTCCCAGGCTGAGCCCCCTACTGTACCCCAGGTAGCCTTCAAAGGGCTCATATCACCCTGGCGTGGTTACTGAATGGAGCCTGGTTCCCTTTATCCTCCCACCCCAAGTTGCTGGGCCCCAGGTCTCACGTGGGCAATGCCTTCCCAGCAACTTGGGTATGAGAGGCTGTAACCGGGATTAGGCCCCTGCAAGGCCACCCTCCATACCAAAGATTTATTTTAAAAGTTTGGAGGTTGGGATGCTGTGTGAGCCAAGGGATTCCTCACACCTGGTTGTTTCTCCCTGGGGGGAGCCGGAGCAGGCACGGGGGAGAGAGAGGGCGTGAACCAGCCCTAAGTCTCCCCATGGAGTGATTTGGCCCCTTGTCCCTCCTTGTTCCCAGAAGAACCTGGGGCCTGCCCTGCCCCCCTCCAGGCCATGATGATTCTGCAATTAATCATGTTTGCTCTGGTGACAGGTACGGTGGAGATGGGGATGGGCAGGGGTATCCCTCTCAAATCTCTAGGATTCCCAACCCTCTATGTCTAGACAATGACGGGGCTGATATTAAAAATATAGAACAACCATAGGGCATCTGAATGGATATATGAGCCATAACAAGGTCCTGGATGCCCCTTGCCTTCTAAAGGTGTAATCTCTTTAGAGCTAGAATGGGGAGAGGTCCAAGAGGGTCCCAGAGGAGGGACCGGGGCAGCTGGGGTGGTGTGGGAGACATTCAAAGAGCTCAGGAAAGTGGCTACTGACCGACGGGTGTGGAAGGATTTCAATCATGTAATACCCAGCCTGTCCATTCAGTGCGTCCCCATAGGACACCAGGCTATGGTCCTCCCCCCCGCCGCCCCATTTCTGGGAGTCGTCTCATGGCTGAGCCCCCTCTTTTGCCCTCACCCTCTCTAGGACATGTAGGGGGAGAGACCAGGATCAATAAAGGATATGAGTGCTCTCCTCATTCCCAGCCGCCCTGGCAGGCGGCTTTGTTCCAGAAGACACAGCTGCTCTGTGGGGCAACCCTCATCGCCCTCAAATGTCTACTGACAGCAGCCCACTGCCACAAGCCATGAGTGCGGGGGCAGGGGCGGGGCTGGGAAGGGGCTGGAGATGGAGAGGTGGATAGAGAAGGGCTTGGGGATGGGGAGAATGTGTATGGGGTGGGGAAAGTGGGGTCAGAGACGGGCACTGATGGTGGGATTGGGTTGGGATTGAAGATGGAAGGATGAATGATGTTGGAACTGGCATGGTGTTGGGAATGGGGTTGGATGCTGGGCTGGCGATAAGGTTTTGGTGGGAGATGGGGATGAGTTTGGAAGTGGAGCTATGTTTCTTCATTCTCTTCATCTCGCCCCCCCCCCCCACAATGTCACTCTCCATTTCCTGTCTCTCCTTCCCCTTCCATCTCTGACCACCATCTCTCTCACTTCAACTGATATGTAGCTCATCTGGGAGAACACAACCTCCAGTGACGGGATGGCTGTGAGCGCACCCGAGCAGCCACTGAGTCCTTCCCCCACCCAGACTTCAACAGTAGCCTGCCCAACAAAGCCCACTGTGATGACATCACGCTCCTGAATATGGCGGCCCCAGCCTTCGTCATCTGGGCCGTGCGACCCACAGGGTGTCATCACACTGTATCACTGCTGGCACCCGCTGCCTCATTTCCGCCTGGGGCACCACGTCCAGCCCCCAGTGTAGGGGCTGCAGAGAGGAGCATGATGGGGTGTGGGGCGGGGGAAGGTGTTTATGATTGTGGAAGGAAATAGGGAACCAGAGGAACCTTCAAAGATGAGATTCATAGTGATACAAGAGGGTGCTACCTGGAGGTGTCAATAGTGGGATAAGTTGAAAGGAAGAGTGGAAAAGTAAGGGCTGGGGAGGGCGGAGACAAAGGTTTGGGCCTTGGATTCAGGCAGACATGATGTGCAATTTCAGATCCACAGCCTGCTAGTTGTAGGTCCTTAGGCAAGTCTCTGAACCTTGGTTTTCTTCTCTATAAAATGAGCATAATCACATCCACCTACTAGAGCTGGATTACACATAATGTTCATAGAGCAACTGGCGTAAAGAATTTTACTTGATAGCGTTACTGTTGCTATGGTTACAAGCAGAGAGGTGAGTTGACTGCAAGCAAGAAGGACAGGAACTGGATTCAGGGCAAGGTCCCTGGTTCTCTGCTGGGTTCAGAGCAAGCCCTGCAGTGTGGGGAAGGGGAACAAAGGGATCTAATTTTCTGTACCCCCTCATGTCATTTCTACAGTGCACCGTCCCCATACCTGGCGATGTGCCAACATCACCATCTTCGAGCACAAGTTGTGTGAGGACGCCTACCCTGGGAACATCACAGACACCATGGGATGTGCCAGCGTTCGAGAAGAGGGCAAGGACTCCTGCCAGGTCAGAGGGCAGGGCTTGGGTCTCCAATCACATTTCCATTCCCATCTCCAACCTCAACCATGTCTTCATCTACATCCACAATCTCATCCCCAACCTCAATGCCACTTCCCCCTGCAACCCCAAATCCATCTCCACTCCCAGGTCCCATTTCTAACATAAACACAATTCCCAGCTCCATTCCCAGTCCCACCCCTATTTCCAACCGTAACCATCCCCAAATCAATTTTCGACCCTAACCCCATCTTTGTTCTCACCCATAACTCTAACCTCATCCTCAATCCCATTGCCAACCCCATTTCAACCTCCACCTCACTTTCAACACAATTCCCCCCTCCTCCCTAACACCATGTCCAACCCTCTCCCCTCTCCTGAGGCCTCCCCTCCTCTCTGACTGGTTCTCTTCCTCCCCATCTCCAGGGTGATTCTGGGGGCCCACTGGTCTATAATGGGTCTCTTCAAGGCATCATCTCCTGGGGCCATGATCCATGTGCTGTCAGCAGAAAGCCCAGGGTTTACACAAAGGTCTGCAAATATGTGGACCGGATCCAGAAGACTATAGAGAACAATTAGCCAGGACCAGCTCATCACGGCCCAATCACCCGATCCCTACTTGGTACCTGTTCATTCTGTTAATAATGAAGCCTGAGCCAGGACCCCTTTATATACTTTTCTGGGGGACTTCTTGACTATGAGAGATGCTGTACCTTAATAATTAATTTGGAGTTTGGAGTTAGGAGACCTGGGTTCTCCTCCTGCCTCATACTAACTTGTGACTCTGGGAGTGAAAATAGTTGTTTGGTTCACTGTTGTACCTCCAGTCTCAAACACAATTCCTGGCACACACCAAGGTTTCAGTAAATATTTACTAAACAAATGAATCTTTTGAATGCTTACTACGTGCCAGACCCTGGTCCAAGGGCTTTTAAATGTATCGACTGACGTAATCTTCACAAAACCCTACAAGGTTGGTACTATTATTATTATACCCATTTTGCAGCTGAGGAAACTGAGGCACAGAGAAACGAAGTCACCCGTTCACGATCACAGAGCCAGCAAGTAGAAAAGCAAGGAATCTGAAGCAAGGTGATTTCTTAACTGACAAGCAATACTACCTTGATTAAGGCTCCATTCCTTGGGACTTCCCTGGTGGCGCAGTGGTTAAGAATCTGTCTGCCAATGCAGGGGGTACGGGTTCAAGCCTGCGTTCGAGCCCTGGTGTAATGAAGACCCAATGCAGCCAAAAATAAATAATTTTTTTTAAAAAAGAATCCTTTCCTTATCTGTAAAATCGTGCATGCTAAAGTATGATAGTACACAAAGTCAGTCAGCCTGCACACAGCTAAGACCCAATAAAAGGGAGCTATCATTGTTTTCTTTCCAACCTCTGCAATAGGTAATAGGTAGTTCATCAAGACCTGAGCAGGTCAGTACAGTAGCCACTAACCATACATGGCTATTTAAATTAAAACTGCCTAAAATCAGAAATGTAATTCTTCATCTAGAGGGGTGGTATAGGGAGGGTGGGAGGGAGACGCAAGAGGGAATGGATATGGGGATATATGTATATGTATAGCCGATTCACTTTGTTATACAGTAGAAACTAACACACCATTGTAAAGTAACTAAACTCCAATAACGATGTTAAAAATATAAAAAAAATTTTTTTAATTAAAAAAAATAAATGTAATTCCTCAGTTGCACTCACCACATATCAAAAGCTCTATAGCCACACGTGGCTGGTGGCTACTGCGTTGGATAGCACAAACGGAGCATTTCCATCACGGCGGAAAGTTCAACTGAACGGCGCTGTGCTGGACAACCTCTAGAGTTAACTGACTCCTCGCTGGAGAAGATGCTTCACAAATAGTCCAGAGCTCGGGGTCTCTTCTGATGTTCTGCTCACCTTGCAGGGGAGGTAGTGGGCATGAGCAGTTAAGGGCCCAGAGCTGGAACTGGGCCTCTGGGTTGTTAAATAGACTTGCTGTGTGACCTCCTGTCAGTCACTGCCCTCTCTGAGCCTCCCATTCCTCACCTGAAATGAGGGAGCTGGCTGAAGTGACACTGATGCCCCTTGTAGCTTTTGGTCTCCTGTGATTCACGGGCCTGTGTGTCACCTGGAGACATGAAGAGGGCAGGAAGTATGTGAAGTGACCACACATGGGCTAGTTGCTGGGACACACGACGCTGCTCTGGCCGTGGATGAGGGCTCAAGCACAGAGCATCCCTCTGGGTCTGCATCTTCCTCTTCCCTCTCTGTGTTTTCTTTCCCTTGTTTGTGTGCATCTCTTGTTCCTACTCTTTCCTTCGATCTACCTTATCTCTCTGCCTCCCTCTTTCAGGGTCAGCATTCTGGCTTTTCTCATTATGCCACTCTAGGTGTGCACGTCCCTGTTTGTTTATTTTCCTCTCTCTCGCTTACAACCATCGGTCTCCGACACTATCCCCGCGACCCCCGCGGCCCCTGGGAATGTGGCACCCTCTTTCCCCATCTGCGAAGACTTCTTGGAACAGGGACCTGGGGAATCTCCATGAAATCCATCTCTAAAAAGGGTGTTTCGGGCACTGGGAGAAGCCTGTATTCCCGGGCCCCTCCCAGAGCAGGAATCTGGGGCCCAGGTTGGGTGCCAGCCTCACCCAGGGTATAATTAGGGAGAGGGAAAGGGAGGAGGTAAATCCCTGGGGGGAGGGTGGGGAAAAGGGCTCTTCGGGGTTAAAAGGGAGGGCCTGAAAGGGGTCCCTGGGCAGAGGATTCCGGCGGCCCACACGGCAGGACTGAGGCACTTCCCCTCCACGACTCCCAGGTGAGCGGCATGCACCTCACCTTGGTTGGGGTGGGTCGAGAGAGCACAGGTGGGGACTCTCGGGTAGCGGGCAGGAGACTTGTTCCAGCCTTAGTTTCCTTATCTACGGGACGCACTTCGGAGCCTCGAATCCCCAGCCCACCTGTGAAGGTAGGCGAAACCCGAAGCGCTGAGAGGCTGGCAGCCGGGACAGCCCCGGCCAGGAGAGCGCTCCCCTCGGGCGTAGGGAGAGCAGGACGCCAGAGCGGCGTCATTAGGGTATTTGCGCCCATTACGCCTGTTCAGGCCCTGATCGCCCGTCTGCCCACCCCTGCGTTTGTCGGCCGCAAGTTAAACGGGTCCCCGCGGGCTGGGGTGGCCCAGGATGGGCGGACGGGCGTGGCAGGCTGGGGTCTCTGACCCGGCAAGGGCTGGGGTCTCTGACCCGGCAAGTGTTTTGAACCGTCCCCCGCCCACCCCCACCCCCCCAGCCTAGGTCCTGGCCATGAGACCCTCACACCTCCACCTCTCCGCCGCCTCCGGCCCTTGGGGCCTCGAGAACCTTCTGCTGGCGCTACTGATGGCGCAACTCTGGGGTGAGGCCGGGGACAGGGCTCGGCGGGAGGCGCCGGACACCGGGGGCGATGGCAGAGTGGGCTCTTATCACCGAGCCCCGCACACTTCTCCTCCCCTTGGGACCCCAGCACTCACCCACAGATGCGGAGAAGTCCCGCCCCAAGTCAGACCCGCCCCTCTTCTAGCTCCGCCCTAGGTATCCCGCCCCCTTCACTCTTCCGAGATCCGTACTCCCCCTTTCTCCTCGCCGCGTCCTTTCCCCGCCCCTTCTTACTTCGCCCGATTTTACCCCAAGTCTTGCCTTAAGAGCCCTCTGCCCTCACCCCTTCTTCCGGCGAGTTGCGTTATTCCCACCACTACTTTCACCCACCAGGAGCTGCTTTCTATCCCCGCCCCTTTCCGCCCCGCCCACCTTAGTCCCGCCCCCTTCTGCCCCGCCTTGTTGCGTTCCTGACCTCTTCAAGTTCTCTGCAGCGTCCCTGCTCCTCCAGACGCAACCTGTTAGGTCTCCTTACTCCATTCTTAACCCCGCCTCCTTGCCCTTTCACGCCGTTCTTCTCCGCCCACTTCCATTCAGTTCCTTCAGGATCCCCAATTTCCACATACACTCTCGGGTTCAGGCTGTGCCCCCCCCGAAGCCCCGTCCCATGGCCCCACTCGGATCCCACACCCAGTGCTTGCCCTGCTGTCCTGCCTGCTCTGATCTCCACCTCCTTCCTTTCTCCAGTCGCGGAGGCTCTGCTGCTCCCCGGAAACGACACGCACTCGCGCTCCGTGGCCTCCGGCGCCCCTTGCCCTTACAGGTCGCAGCCCTGGCAGGTGTCCCTCTTCAATGGCTTCTGGTTCCACTGCGCCGGCGTCCTGGTGGACAGGAGTTGGGTGCTCACGGCTGCGCACTGCGGGAACAATAAGTAGGGAGAGCTGCTTAGGGACGCTACGGAGGGGCTGTGGAGGCAGGCCCCGGGGAGGGGGCGGGAAGGACTGGGGTACTTGAGGGTATGGAACTAACAGCTCGATGTGGGGTGGGTCCTGGAGGGCTTCCTGTAGGAGGAGAGGTGGGCTTGTGCTGTGGCCACGAGGGGGCAGTGTGGTCTTTCTCAGAGTTTCTGGGCCCATCCAGAGCCACTGACCAGCTGATTCTGCTAGGGTTCCATTTAGGTGTAGATAGTTGTTTGCAGCAGACAGAAGCCAGGATCTGGTGTGGTTAGGACTTCAGAACTAAAAGAAATTGTTCATCTCATGGGTCCCCACTGAGGGAGGAAGAAAAGGGTAGGTTTACCAAGGTAGACCCTCTGCCCTCAATTCCTGCAGAACTTAGGGACCCAAACACCTGATCGTGGTTCCCCATGTCCCCCCAGATCAGGTCTCCAGCTCCCTTCTCCCCTACCCGCTCCTCCCTCAGACCCAGGAGTCTGGGTCCCCAGCCCTCTCCTCCATCAGATCCAAGAACTAGGCCTCCAGCCCCTCCTCCCTCAGACCCAGGAGTCCCAGCCCCCAGGCCCCTCCCCTGCCAGGACCCAAGTGTCTATCCCCACCCCACTGCCTGTACCCTCCTTCCCAGGGACTCAGGCTTCAGTTCCAGTCTCAGTGAAGGCTTTGCATCCATAAGACTCTTCCCTCCCCAGGCCTCTGTGGGCTCGAGTTGGGGATGACCACCTGCTGCTTCTCCAGGGAGAGCAGATCCGCAGGACCTCTCTTCCTATTATCCACCCCAAGTACAAGGGCTCGGGCCCCAACCTGCCCAGGCGAACAGATGAGCATGACCTCATGCTGCTGCATCTGACCTGGCCCGTTGTGCTGGGGCCTCGAATCCATCCTCTACGCCTGCCCTATCGCTGTGCCCAGCCCGGAGACCAGTGCCAGGTCGCCGGCTGGGGCACCACAGCCTCCCGAAGAGGCAAGAGCTGGGGGCCCTGGGGCCTGTATCTTGGGGAAGGAGGACGAGGGGCCTGGACTCCTGGGCCTGAGGGAGGGGCATTTGGGAGCCTGAGGCCTGTGTTGGGAACAGTCTGGGTATCTGGGCTCCTGGATCCTGGAGGATTGGGGGCCGGACCCCAGGATTACCTGATGTTTTCTCCCATCAGTGAAGTACAACAAGCGCCTGAGTTGCTCCCGTGTCTCTATCCTGAGCCCTGAAGAGTGTGACGTCTTCTATCCTGGCGTGGTCACCAACAACATGATATGTGCAGGACTCAGCAAGGGTCAGGACCCCTG